GGGCCGCTGGCCCTGGCTGGCTGCGGGACGCTGGCGCTGGGCTTGCGCTACGCCTGGGCCGAGTGGCCCTGCGAGTACCAGTCCTGTGTCCTCTACAACACCCAGGGTCTGCCTGCACCCCCCTTCCTCCTGGAGGCCTTGCCTGCAGGGGAAACCCCGGGGCCCTCCGAAACAGCCTTAGGGAGGGAGCTGCTTCTCCTCCCTGGCTGGCCCTGGCTGGCTGCGGGACGCTGGCGCTGGGCTTGCGCTACGCCTGGGCCGAGTGGCCCTGCGAGTACCAGTCCTGTGTCCTCTACAACACCCAGGGTCTGCCTGCACCCCCCTTCCTCCTGGAGGCCTTGCCTGCAGGGGAAACCCCGGGGCCCTCCGAAACAGCCTTAGGGAGGGAGCTGCTTCTCCTCCCTGGCTCCCGGTTCTCACGGGGGATTTAGGCGAGGGAGCTCAGACCTCTCACAAAGCAGCTCAGGGCTGCTGGCGCCATGCCCTTCCAATGCAGGGAGGTGGCTGCCTTGATTACTGTCTGACTAATTAAACTTTCCAGCTCCTCTTTGGCCTGAAGTCAAGGCTGCGGAGAGGAGAGGAGCCAATTTAAAATGAAATTTGTGAGAAATAATGGTAAGACAAGCAGCAGGACACACTGATAAGAAGAGTTTAACCCCTCACTGCTGCTCCTCCCTGCCCACAGAGCTGGTCCTGGCCCACCTCTCGGGCCACAACTGCTGACCCCCAGGGCAGGGTGCTCTCAGGATCCAGGGCCCAGTCTCTGTCTACAGGGTGGAAAGGGTGGGCAGAGAGGAGCTCTGCCAAAAAACTCCCACAACCAAACGCTAAAACTGGGGCTGGGACCTGGAGCTGCAGAGAGCATGTTGCTCTGTAGCCGTGCCTTCCACCTTCCCGTTAATAAACAGTTAATAAAACGCTTCATTTTATTCTTGGATCCCTTTTTTTCCTTCAGAGGAGCATCTCTTAGCCCTCCATTCCCCCCTTCCTGCTGTAGCAGGGAAATTTGTGTAGAAGAGGCACGCAGTGCTCAGAATAAGACATCTGAGAGAGTCTCTGCACAAAAGACTGATTGTTTAAACCTTTTTTGCTGGAAAAAACGTACATAAGAAGGGGAACCCCAAATGCAGGAAAAGAGCCGGTGAGCTCTGTATCAAAACCAGTGCTTGAGCAACGCTGGCAACAAGGACGTGCATCGGACTGGACCCCAGGATCCCAACCACCCTGCCTGCTCTGGGGTCAGGCAGAGCCCAGCGAGTCCCGGGAGGCTTTTCCCGTTGCTTCCACTCCAGGCTTCGTTCCTGGGCAAGGAGGGGGAAGAGGAGGAAGTTAATTAACTGGGCGATCGCAAACTGAGATCTTGTGCGACTAGCCTGAGCTCCAGTTGTGCTAGTCCCATGGTTGCCATGCCAATGAGGATGACAAATACAGCTCAATCTGGGTGTTTTTTTTAAAACCACAGCCCTCAGGCAGCATATTCGGGGTCAGGAAAGGAGCGCAGGCATCCTGACTCCCACCCTGCCAGGTCAGGGATCCCCATGAGACCACAAAGGGGCACCCCCGTCTCCCCAAAGCCCAAAGCACGCAGGAGAGGGAGCAGCGGTGCCCAGGGAGGGTGCGTACCGGCCCCAGGGAATGCGGCTCTACCTTGGAGACCTGTCTCCATCCCACCATGCAGCCCTGCTGTGCCCACCGCTGCCGTGCTAACAGAAGAAGGGGGTAGGCACAGCATCCTTGGCATCAGCCTCCCAGGATTTAAAGCTCCCAACTCCACTCCCAGCAGGCTGGGTTGCTCTCTCTGCCAAAAATGGGGGACCCCCCAGCCCCTTGGTTTGCCCAGAGCTTGGATTTAAGTGGCAAGCTCTCCGCTTTCTGTTCCTATAGCAACTGCTACCCACGCATGGGCTCGCGGTAGCATCACCTCCCGGCTGCCAGAACCCATCCTCAGCTGTAAATGGAGCTGTTGGCCCCCCCGGCGACCCCCGGCAGCCCCCCAACTCTCCCCCAAAAACCTCAATGGCTTTGCCAAGGGGTTTGGGCACCAGGGGG